ATTGAATGTAAGGAATACCAGCAAGAAGATAAATACTTGCACTTGTAGCCAATCTGTCACTGAAATGAAATTTCCCTAAAAGCCTTTATATCAATTAGGCAGACTACCTAACTTTAAAGTTAAATTCTTTAATACATTATGGTATATTTATTGCAAATTTCAAAATTGAGAAGGCTGATTAAGGATCAATTTGAATGCTATGAATAGTGGCAAAATATTAACCAAGAACGATTTATCCTTGATTTATAGCAAGAGAGTTACGATTCAATTGAAAAATTGTAAGTCAATTAATGTATCTTCGATTCAGATTCTAATCCTATCTTAAGGATGGTGTCCCAAGGCTTGCATCAGCCCGCAAGTCTCATTGAATTTAAAGCAATATAAGATAAAGAGAGTATTCGGCCAACACTTAGGGAGATCCATCAATGAATCTTATTATTACTCATCTTAACTTGAAATGAATAACAAATCAGCATTTTTTCCTCAGTCATATCGGACCTGTTTTCAATCTCATAAATCACTCATTTTGAATAAAGCAGTAGTATCGACTAGATCTCCCCATCTAAAAGAGAATATGGATGCAGAAGTTTTCTCAGCCTAGACTAGACTAAGTTACTATAGGAGCCTTTCGCTATCTATTCCTTACCTAAACAAATAAAAAAGGAAAGAAGAGAAGTAGTCAACTGGCTGGATCATTTAAATTGAATGAGACAAAATATTTTTAATCGCAAGCGAAAAATATTAGTGCTCAGAATGTTTACATTTGTGATGCAATTTGCAATTCGGAGTTAAATTTGCGCTCTTGTAAGCCGCAGAAGCCACAATGTTACAGAGTTCTTTAACTGGACAGATAGTTGTCAATGCTATATCAAATTCAATGAATCTCTTACGCAAAAGAACTAGCGCTAACAGAGCCTTTTAACTTCCTTAAGAGAGTAAAGCATTCGATACAACCTTAATTGTTGACTAAATATATAGAAGTGGCAAGCAATACTCTATGACCATGAAGGGAAGCCCCACTAGACCTTACTATACTAGTTCAGCCTCGTTAAGCAACACCGGCCAATTGTTCGCACAGAAATAATAGTTGGCCTTTTAGACAGAGGACTTCGGACAAGTTGCGTCTAGCTAAGTCTCTCTGACAACACGACCAAGTTACGAGAATGATGTCAGACCACTTCTAATCTTAAAGCCGTTCTTGCTGAAATGGATTTATTTTTTAATTCTTCTTAATCTAACCAGTTAGTCAACGTACCTTAGTTTTTACTAGTATTTATCCTATAAATTCATGCATCACCTACCTACTTTGTAGAAGAATATAAACGAGGTATGAAGTGATAGCAAAATGCCTGATTATATAAGACTTTCAATTTGGACTGGGTACCTTTAAGAATTTAGCTAAAAGTGTGGTACAGAAGCTCATAAATAAATATATTTATATATAAGCCATCATCAAAAAGAGGCAATCCAAGGCATTGCTTCTTGGACTGACAGGTAAATTGCCTTTGGAGAATTTATTTTTGTAAGATTTTGGCATATGCAAGGGATTAAATGAACGGAAAATATTCAGTCAACTATAATAAGCCCGTACAATCTTGTCCAC